CACAAAAACTTGGATATTTTGGACTTTACTTGGCCCTTTTTTACTGCACCATTACTTTTTTGCCATACTCAATCTTGCATAACGATTTTTTGTAGACCATTGGTAGATTGCCATGTTTTACTGTATCAGTATTCAGTATTGGATAGTATGGAGGCAAAGTTTTCTACTAAAGCTCCTTAAATTTTCAAACTTCTCCCTCATTTCCTGTATGATGCTTTTGGGGATAATGGTTTTACTCATATAAGAACTGATCAAGTAGATATTTTGAAAGCACACAAACACTTGGTCAAAATTGGCTGCCTAAAACACGACCCAAATCCCGCACAGCTGGTGGCGCAAACTAATGCCACAGGTGTGATTAATGAGCTGCCTTCGGCCAAAAGCACTTATAACTTGAGCCAACCCTGAGCCAAGATTGCTCCATGTCTGCATCTCCAAAATCCAGCCAAATTTGGACCTCTAGTTTCAGGATACAGCTTAACTGCATTCAGGTTTCTTGGCTGGATATCTCAGCAACAGTAGATCCATCCTCAGATCGCTTTTTTTGATTAACTTCGGCCAACATTAGCAAAATGCTGCGTCATGATAGTAGGAACCATCCATTTGGAAAAAGAAAAGTCTCCCTTTTGCGTAAATAAAATGACATGACTCATTAATGTGATGAATGACCGTGCAATTCCCTGGGATCTCAGCATCAACCCCCCCCCTCTCCAACCCCTTTAGGCCTCTTGTGGGCCATTCCGGGTGAAAGCCGAACATTTAAAACGTGTGCCTTGAAGTGCTGAGGCAAGCAAGTCCGGCGGCCAAATGGTCGCTCTTTTCAGCTGTTGAAGCACCCAAGGACCCATCACACTGTTAACATCAAATCATTAAATTCACCCCTTACTTGGTCTCCTGGAGTGACAGAGAGATAGCTAGGAAGACAAAGAGCGAGGGTAAAAAAAAAAAATAATAACAGTCATGCTCAGCCGTAAAGCTTAAAATAAACCTCATTTAAAGGTTGAAAAACAGTGACTAAAAAGTGACATTTCTGTCTGGTTTGAATTTCGTCTTGTGGAGCAGACGCACTAATCTTTGAGCGCAATTTTACTTCATAAGAGAAGAGATCAATAAAATACGATTCGGCTAATGTGTCACTGTCAAAGCAGAGGACTTGAGATTATTCTGCTGTATTAAAAATTTAATTGCATCTTCAGTCGTGTCTGAAAATCTCTGATAGCATCGTACCTTAAACTTGTAAGAATACACACTCCAAAAAGGCTGAAAATTAAATCTTTCTGGCTGCTCAATGAATAGCTCTTACAAGTTTGGTTATTTCATACAACCCTTTATGGGAGTAAAAATGAGAAAATATGCTTGTATGTCAATTTAAAGGGAACTTTATAAAGGAAGAGCAGATGGTGTTCTCCTTTTAGATGTTCAGCCTCTCTGGGTAGAGGTAGCCTTGATGTACACTAATGTGTTTAGAGTCAGCCATTGTATTATTTCATGCCACCTCAAGCAATTACAGTATTCAGCTGTTTCCACAGTACACTGAGTTCATTCGGCGCTTGAGGATGATTCCCGCATCTGCATCTTACATTTCACAGTCTCTCCTGTACGTAATTTCCAAATGCAAATCAGAGGAAGTGCAGCATTTCTTTGATGACTCATTTGTTTTAGTCAGAAAAAAGGACATCTCTGTTTTTAGCACTTTCAAGCCAGCTTTTAGCGCGCACTTCCCTATGGTGCTATATGTTCCTGGGTCCACCTAAAACCCACTCATACAGGGTCTCTTAATGCTGCAGCCTTATTGTGTCATATTTCCTAAGCACATATTACTTGCAGTTATGTTCTAATCTATAATAACCCCGCTGCTTTAAAGACTCAAAGAGTTGTTCCCCTGCTATCATTGGTCAGCTGCACTCGGTTTCTATGGGAACTAATGTGCATTACAAGCTGGTAACACGAGCAACATTTTTATTTGACTGTGCGGCTCTTATTCCTCTGAGCGCTGTAGTTCGTTGTCCAGGGAAAGTGGCCAGATAGCAGGTGGAGGCCATCATGTTTGCACGAGTCTTACCCGGGTGTCTAAAATACAGTTTCTGCTCCAAGAAAAGGAAGAGAAAAGGACTCTATATCAGTTTGCCTCCTCTGCATTCAGACCTCGCATCCACTGGCAATCGATTTCTAAATCAATCCACAAACACAAAAAGAGCAATTTATTCCTTTCAAGGATTATTTGCTGCATCTGTGCATGTGTGCCTTTGTATTTGGGTGAGCTCTTGAATCATATACCCTACAAACACTGATTGGCTTAAAGATTATGTGAAATTCACCTGCACTTTGATGGTGTTGTGTGCTGCCTATTAATTAGCTTCTACAGACATGATGCCAAGTTCTGAGTCTGCACTGTGGTCTACATTCAGTTTCCACCTGCTATGAGTCATGCATTCAACTGTATGTAAAGACTGCTCAGCAGAAAAATAGTCGTGCATGGAGAAATGAATTCCCATGTCTTGCCTTTTTCATCCGTGTTTGCACAAACATCAAGTATGGGCAAGTTCATGAGAGAGAAAAAAAGTCGAAGCCCCAGTCAGATTCTTCCCTCTGAGGGTTGTCTGTTTTTGGCAAGCACCCCCCTAACCTGTGTACATGGTATGAATGAAGCAGGAAGCAAATGTGTCCCTCCTTATGGTAGGTCAGACTACAAGGCAGCCCAGATTTTTCAGGGAGTTTATTAAAGGGCGGAATCAAAAACTGAATTTCAACACAGTGGCATCTGAAGCTTTTGCCTCAAGGGCCTGATTTCCTGGTTCTCTGGTGTTTTAACAATGAGGCTGTACTTGACAGTCCGACTGAGGCTGGCGTGTTTGAGTGGCCCTGGAGTTCAGCTTGTTTTTGTACAGCAGAGTTAAAAGCACCACAGAGGAACGGGAGTTCAAACTTGTTGGGCGTGAGGCTAATGAAATCCAGAAAGGCCCATCCTATCAGATGCATCACAAATCAACCAAACTCATCACTGGAAAGAGCACATATTGAAGTCATGTCAGACCTTGCTTGTACAGTTGAAAGGCCTCTACGTGTTAAACTTATAACAAGCAGTATTATTTATCTCACACAGTTAAAGGGTAGAATTGTAATATCATCCCTGGAAAATGTGACTTTTACAATAAACAATTTACTCGGGATTTCAACCGCATCTGGAACAGCTGCGATCCTGACCGGCGTTGATTTTTGCCATACGCCAATTCCCACTCTGTTTTTGAGGTGAATTTCGTGGCCGATTACGGACAGCAGGAATTGCGAGAGCTCACGAGAACCCGCAGATTTATGTGCAATTGTGCGAGATCAGGTTGTCTTTAGCCACACAGGCTAACTATATAGGCAGTAGACAGTGTCCTTCCAGAGGAGGAAATCCACTTCTAGACATATAAAATCAGCATCTCCTCATCCATGGTGTCATCAGGGTTAAATGCTGTCTAAAAACCTTTTACTTGTCCCTCCCTGCCCGTTTGGTGTGAAATACGATTCACCTGAAACATGGAGGGTTTTATTTTGAAAAGAAGACGGATGTTTTATTTGGGGTCTTTGCCCGACTATCTTTCCAGCACAGGTTATTCCATGCTGAAATTATCAGGCATGCTCCAGCGTCCAGAAAAAATAGTACTCTTGTGATCAGCTGCGGAGTCAGATGATCCACAGCAGAATGGAATGAAGCAGAACAGCAATGGAAATTGATACATTAACTTGAATGGTTACAATCAGCTAAGATCGGCGGATACTGCCTTTTCGTAGCCGTTTCTAGATGCAGTGAAAATTGCCAGTCACAGGATGACACCTCCTCAGAGACTTATCTATACATAATATTTATCAAACAGAACTACTGTGTGCTTATTTTGGTACGAGGTTGAAACTAATAATGCTAATATCACTTATTTCTTCTTCCTTATTGGAAACCAATCGTGATGTGTCAGTTGCGAATAAACCGGTTCAAAGCGCAGACTCTTTAACATGAAGAGATTGGGAGCCGTGCAGTGCATGACTGTTACATACATGCTGTTTGCAACCAATCACACGAGGATACACCAACCAGAGGGAAGCAGGGGTATGTCCTGTGCTCATGCTCATTAGACGGATGCCCTCTGTATGGCCACAGCAATTTACTGATATTAGAAAATGTAATTTTTACTTGTGAATACTTCAGTACAAAGGATGTATTGAATTATTCAAGAGATATGTGTACACACATACATATCAGAAGCCAAACATCGCTAGATTTAGCTGAATTAGAAAATGAGTAAGTGGTAAAATGAAAAGCCATTTGGGAGCCGAAAGAACCGTCTCATCTTGGTAAACTGACCCAAATGATGTGTCTCACTAAAAAGAGCCGTAATTCCCATCATGAGAAACCAAACGCACTCTATATCAGCAGATGCACTTACTGTCACCCAGGTTTTACTATAGTTCAAATAAGACATGCACATATTTATTTATTCTATAAGAAAACTGTGGTCCTTGACTCTCCATTTTAAACCAGTTTTATCTGAGTTCAAACTATGAAATTCGCCTTGCACCTGGTTACCCGATCAGGTGCCAAACTGCTGCCACAGACGGGATGATCCCCTCGTTCCCTCAGCAGTCTGCGACACTATTCCCTCTACTTACTTTTGCCAATTTGCTCCTGGGAGCCCCTGAGTCCTTGTCTTCATTAAGGGAGTTCCTCATTGATCAATCACTGTCAGAGGAGCTTCTCTGTAATTGCACTGTGGCCTAATCATGACTGACGTCTCACACTCCTCTCTCCCTCCACCCTGCTCTGCTTTGTCACAGGTCTCAGGAGAGAGGATGTTCCATGACTTTCACACCTTCGACCTCAAGGTAGGCCTCTCTAAGGACTCCACTCTTCTTTTATGCTTTATCCTCAGCACTATAAGGTGTTTTTAATAGACGGTATAACTCAAATATGAATAATGGTGGTGGAGATCAAGACAGGTGTGTAAGGATAGGGTTAGGAGTGAGGGATATTTCTGTGTTTGGCCAACACAAAAGGGTTCACAAATCATTCAAAGTACAATGTGATAGGGTTCCTGTTGCAGGGCTGCAGCTCCTGGCATGAGCTCTTAATATTCATCAATCACGGCACATTTTCATGGTGCACTGATTGATGTTTGCTGTAGGACTTGCTCTGTGTTTGTCACATTTGCTGAATAGGCCCTTACATTTGTCAAGTGTACTGCAGTGAATGTAAGACAAAACACAAGTCACTACTGCGACAAATTAACAGTGTCTGACATTTCTAACAAGGCGTGCTCAATATTTCACATGCAATCAACTTTAGAAATGTTCACTCGGTGTACCTTTATAATACATTTCATTAAGTTTATTTATTTATTTATTTTTAATGGCTGTTGTTAAAACTTATGTTTGCCTTGTTACCACACTTTGAATGTGATATGCAAAGTGTGCTTTACCCCAACACTGCATAATGGACTCAGGCTACATGCCCAGATGCTAATGGACTCAGATTCAAACATGCATACAGGCACGCTTACTGTACACAGCACTGAAGAAATGCACAGCAGCTAGGTCTGTCAGTGTTTACGCATGAATGTTGATGCAGTGAAGTTTTAAAATTAACACAATTTTTTCTTTTGTTTTTTTTTAATTACATGATATTTTGTCCTTTCCCGCACACCTCTGCACTTTTGAATGAGACATTTTACTCTAAAAAATGTTTAAATGGCTGAGTTAAAAGTCCAAAATTGTATGCAAACAGATTTAAAATATCACTGGATTACATCAAGTGAGCTAAGCATGCAGGTGCAGCTGATCAGACTGATGTAAACAAGCAAAACTGTAACCGGTCTCCAGGCTTTGATGTTGTCTCCTACCTCCTAAGACCACTCTGCTGCATTTATTATGATTTATACATCTATAAGTACAGATCATAAAGTACTTTTAATGCATAAGACACATGTAAGAATTCCTTTACATAGTTTAAATGACATTTAAAGCCATTTTTATAATGCAAAGTAATGAAGTTCTGTACACGCCAGTTTAGAAAATTAGCTGTTGAAATTTTTGGATTATCAGGTTTTAAAAAATAAACAGTTTAGCAGTCCTACAGCCAACATAAGTCTTTCTTTACAATAAATATGTCCATCTTTTTTCCTCTCAAACAAAAGAGCTGAAATCCAGCAGCTGTTCATGGGAGTTAAAACCTCCCAGGCGGAGATATACTATTTCTTATGATCCTCGCTTAAGATGCAGAATTATAAAAGTATAGTATTACCAAATATTTCTGCAGCAAACTTTTTACTTCTGCAGAACACAGTCAGAGTGATGACAACTGAGTCTGCCATCAGCTCCATAATCCGCGCTGTCACACCGACACACAGATTCACCAAGAACAAATTGGAAAAGATGCAAAATGATGTACAAAGAAGATGGGAGTGATTTTACGGAGTGAAATTGATATCTGTGCCATGATATTAGACCCACTGGGATGCAGAAAGTTTTGGAAAACTTGATGTGATTTCGAAAAAGATTTGCGTGTCTCTTATTTTTTGCAGCGGAAAGAGGTTTAATGTCACTTTGATGGCGGAGATTAGTCTCAGTCCTCTTGTGATCTTACATTAGCACAAGGTTATTCAAGCTTACAGGCGCTGATTGGACTGAATGCCTGCTAGACTTCTGTCAATGCAGAGTGTATGTAAACATGGTAAAAATCTGCTCTCAACACATCAATGTTTCATATTTTTTTTAATCATTATGGTTAGAAAATCGCAGCCAGTAACTCATGCAGGATTTCACGCATGTATGTACATGACATGATCTGTCATCTCCAAGAGAGGGCATGGACACAATTGCAAATCCCTCTCCTCCCTCCCTCCTTCCTCTCGCCCTCCTTCCTCCCGATATGCTAATGCTTTATCCCGTGCCGTATTTCATGCAAATGCCTTTCATCGCATATTTTCAAATGTCATTTAGAAGACAGCTGTAGCACAAGCATCCATAATGTTTTGACTAGGGGGGAAATTGCAACATGGATCTCAGTCATTGTGAATTCTGCGCACAAAGACAGGAAGTGGAAAATGTTGAACTCTGTCCTCGACACAACATGATTGTTTTACAGAAGTTTGAAACATGTTTGTGATGAATGCTGCAGTGGGAATACATAAATAAAGATGATAGGACAACTAAATGAGCAGAAAAAACAAACCTCTCTCTTAGCACCCTGACTGGATGTGTCTGTTTTTGTGTGTTTAATTCAAATAGGAACATTTATGTGCATTTATAGCAGCTAAAATAAAAACCTACAGTGTGCTTTTCCGGTCCATGAAATTGCAGGCACCTTGGCATTTGCTATTCCTGCTCTGTCATTGTCTATAATACTGTTCCCGACCATGAACTAGGAGGAAAGTTTTAAATTTAAAATGTAATCAGCACAATCACCACAAGCAATCAGTTCCTCTTCATTCCACCTGATCGAGCCCCCCGCTAAAAAAACAGCCTGTTAAATAGAGCATCTTATCAGGCCTGGATTAAGTTTTGACTTTGATTAACATCTGTAGTCGCAGTTTAGAATGTCAAAGTTCAAGTTTGGGGAAGATTTAGTCTTTGAGGATACAGGAGATGTCAAGGAAGACTTTTGATAGAGTGAATTACAGTAAGAAGAGGGCAGGGACTCTTTTTTGTGTTGCTCCTTAGCTGTAGATGTGCCAAACAGTAAAAACTAAAAGCTTGATTTGTGCCTTGATTGTGAAGTCAAAGGGCAGTTTGACATTTTCTTACACCCTTTCCTTTCCCTGCCAGATTTATAAAATAGAATTGACACTAATCTTAATTCATGAACCCGTCAATCAACAAAAAAAGAACAACTAAAGACTGTCCGCTTCAGTCAAAGCTATGACACGTGTGTTAATGTCACCGCAGTGAAAACAAAAAAGATTCACTCTCAGAGCCTCATTTATTTGTAATGTGACAACTATCTATAAAACTGCTCTGAAACTTAATAATGATGCAGAGGATGTCAGTAGTCCTGAAGAGAATTAGGGCCACTGAAGATAAAAAAAAAAAGGGTCCAGCATATTTTCTTAAAATTATTATTCTGAGAAAAAAAAAGTAAAAATTCTGAATTAGGAATAATAATTTTAAAAAATTATATTGGACCTTTTTTTTTCTTTTTTTTTTTTCCTCAGTGGCCCTAATCCTCTTCCATACAGACTTATTCACTTCATGAAAAACTATAGAGTTCAAATTCATCCTTTTATTTAATGTGTGATTAATGCATACATTCTACTGTCTTACATGTAAAGCTGCAAAATAAACTCACTAAAACCTAATATTACCACTGAGAACAAGGTGTCCTTTAGATGCCGTTTCATTTTAAGTACTGAAAATGAAATTTAATATACTTTTACCTAACGCTAAAACAAGAGCAGGGAGACTGAAGTGCAGGTCATATTATTTCCAGCACTCACTGACTGATTTGATGCGTATTATTTGTGCTACTGTAACTGCGCGATTTCATTTCCTGCCTTAACAGCCACAGACACTAGAAAATAACTTCATAATATGTCACATTTCAGACAAATTAAAGACTAGAGCCTGAACATAACTCTGTCTTGTTGTCCCGACTGATGTCAAATACAGAATATGAGTCACAATGGGGAGGGTAGGAGTGTTTAAAGGGGTGTCTCATGGAGGAAGAGTGGTTTTCTATAGCTTCCTGTAGTTTTCCAACACATTTTCATTAAAACACTCATAGCTTAACAATGTTACAGTTACAGAAACTAACTATTATAATTATTAGGACATGCAGTTCCTTTGCAGCTGTACCATCTGTCTTTGCAGTCTTGCTGTAATCTAGCTAATCAGAACAGGGTTGTGGTAAAAAAAAAAAAAAAAAAAAAAAAGGGAAAATGCCTTAGCTAAATTACAGCCCCTTTTTACAGTAAAATACTGTAATAAAATCAAATGCCTTTTTCTGTATTTTGTACTGTGGTATTGTCCTCAAACTGAATGGAGCCTTTCACAGGTAGAAAATAAAAAGTAAAGAAATTGCAGAATTCATGAACTTTTCTCATGAGTGCAAAACATAATCTCATGGTGATCTTGCCAGCATAAAAGACAGCCATCTCTGACTCCAGGCTCGACAGACTTCTCCCGCCTTCCTGTCTTGTTTCATATTACACCCCTCAGAGACGGAAGAAATGAGCTAGCATTACCTCTAATTACATCCACCTATCACCTCCAAAAGTACACTAATTAAGATAATGTATAGCTTTTCTTGAACTTGCGCAAACAGCATTCCCATTAAACAAGGTTTATGCAGCATACAAAACAAACGTGCCTCAAAATGATTCTCCCTGTACTTTAGACTGGAGATTGTAAGACGTTTGTAACACGAAACTATGAACTCATTCCCATTGTTTGTCCACACAGACAAGCATTTAATTGTCTATTTTGTATCTGCTGCAGGAGTTCTGCTATTTCTTGATAGCGCTGTTTAATAAAAGGTTGGCAAAGTGCTAAATATTGTTTTCCTATTTTCTGGGTAATTGTTTTTAGATAAAAAATGCTGATATGGCGTGGCAAGGCAATCAGCTTTAAGAAAAGGCTTGATGATTGGAATGATTTGGAGGAATTAAAACACACCAAAGAGGGGTATTCGCCGTTATCCAGAGCTCATTACGAAATGCACAAGCTCTGCTGACTGTCCATCTCCAAACACTTTATGAATTTCAATGTCACTACAGCTGAGTTCATTTGGGGGAAAAGGCAAACCGAGCGCACAGAGGCCACATCCAGACATAATAAACTGTCGCTGTGTTCACAGAGGCGTGGAGAGGTGAGAACACCTCCCCAGTACATCCTCAGACACATCTGTGCCCATGCACCTCAAATGATGTTTCTTTTTCAGAGGAAATAGGTCAGCCGTGAATACCTGGCTCCTTCCATCTCAAAAAATCCTTTAACACACTTAATTAAGAGTGTAAATATGTTGGTTTATTGAGTGTGACTTCAAAAAAAAAAAAAAACATTGACTTTCCTGAGCTTTTGAGTCTTCACAAAGATGCACAAATCTGAAATTTCAAAAGCGGATTCATTAGGAACTGTAAAGGCGCAAAAATGCCAACTTGGCCCTCATTTAAACACCGAATCAATCAGATTGCACTGCTGTGATTGCTTAATTAAATGCTCGGCTGTGTAATGACTTTGCTTGAAAGGGGAATTAAACGTCTAAATGCTGCAGAATCTGCGTCGAGGCTGAACAGAAATCAATGGGACATAGTGCTGGAACCCAAGGTGTTTTCCGACTTGTTTAGGGTGAGCGTTTTGTATTGATGCTATCCCTCAGTCAGTGAGTCAAAAGCTCATTCCTCTTAGTCCAAAGCATTGATTGGAGGCATACAAACTGTCTGCTTACTTTGTGCTTTCCGTGGACATCCAGGAGAGTAGTTTACAATGCTTTACAAGTGAGCAGTGGATGTAAAACTCCACTTTAAAAGAGGCCAAACCGCAAACTAATCCAGGGAATGCTCAAAGTTATAAACACAAGCCAGAAAGACGTGTAAATGAGAAACAAAATACCTCTGGTTGATTTTTTCTACTAGAAAACCCTATCTTCACCATATTGGATAGTTCATATTTTAAATGTCAGTGTTAGTCTGTTGGTTTACCATGATTATTAGAACAAAAAGATTCAAAATGTGCTGGGTGGATGGGTACAATGTTTTTAATTGACAGTCATGTTTCCAAAATGATAAATTTAAGAATTTCCTCCCCATCATGTAGTCCACATTTGCTTTTTGAGGTGTCTTAACAATTATTGGAGGCAAATATCCACATGTTGAAGTAGTAGTTGTGTTTAGTGATTGTCTGAATAATGTACCCAAGCCATCAGTACTACAATTTTATCAACATTCGCCTCAGTTTTCATTTACCATCATCATTAACAAAATACAACCGACATTTGTGATTCAACTTCCTGTTCCTTTTATTTTCACCCATTATAATGAGCAACTCATCATGCAACCAATTTCAAAGCTGATTTTCTGCATGTCCATCTAACTAACTGTGATCAAGGCTGTGTGCTCAACATTTACAAGATGATGAGGGTTTCTAACACCAGTGTTGACACAGATATACTCCTTAGTCTAGTTGCTCTATCCTACTTTGGCATCTGTTCATTCAAGTGTTACGTCCCCATTGATACACTCAGTACATTAAATTTACATTAAATAATTGATTTATTGACTGAATTGCTCCAAATCAAACTTCTCATGGTTGGATAATGCAGCTGGGCATCACTCTGGCTCAGTCAAACTGGAGTTGGCCTGAGCCTTCTGCTCATGCTCAGGTGTTTGCACCCTGAGTTTTCAGCTGGAAGTTGAATTGCCTAAATTGCCTCATCGAGCTGTGACCGTAGCTCAACCCCACTGTGCATGTAAACGTACTGACTTACTGCATCACACACTAAGTTTCCCACCTTGAGTGTGACATGACAGAAAAATGGCCGTTGTGTGAATATGCTCTATAAGCATTATCTAAAAGCGTTTCATTGCCCGGGTACAACCTCACAGACCTGCAGACTCTTCCTCACATCCTCAGTTTAGATAGATCCAACCCCAATGATCCACATTATCTGTTTACCGTTGTGTTTCATTGATAGTTGAGTTCTGTCTTAAAGCATGCCAGTATTTTTCTCAAAATAACTTTCAGTGCCTGAAATCATCAGTCTTCAAGTATTTTCAGAGTGTTTTTAAAATAAAAGCCTAAAGGAAAACATTAAAACCCAACGCACATGGAAATAGTTCTTGAAAGGAGTGCAGCCGACTAATCTCACAAACATTTGATTGAACCAAAGGACCTTTAGAAAACCGCCAAAGCTGGGAAGGGCGTCCAACTCCTAAAATGACAACCGATTATCAAACTGCCTCTGGCTCGAGACACTGTAATCCCCCAGATGTTTGCAGACTATGAAATATGAGAGTCTGAATTAGATCTCTCAAACAATGTCGGCTTGTCTGCATCCCGTAAACCCCCAGCATTTAAGTCACAAAATTAAGTTGACCCCGTCAGAAAGCTTAAGGACATGTAACAAAGCCCCCGGCCGTCTTATTACTTCATCTGCTTTCGTCTCATCTCCTCTGTGTAATAAGTTCCCACTCCAGCAAGACCACTGGGGCTAATAAGGGTGTTATCTGCTTTTGATATTAGATATTAGCACCTCATCAAAGTTAAGCCAGCGGTGGGCTCTCGTCCTCCCTCCGAATTTACATTAGCCTAACAATGTCTCCAAAAGAAATCTTATCAAATTCAAATTAAGGGCGAGCTGAATAGCCAGAAGGACACCGCTACCCATCACTCAAGGAACATGTAATTTGGTTCTGCAGCAAAGAATACAAGCCTGCTTTGTAAATCACTGAGATCACAGTTTTGCTGCAGTAATACTTTGAACACTCGGCACCTTGTAGTCGTGAGTCAAAACAGAGTACATTTGTAGCATGTTAATGATGAATGTTTGGCTGCTGGGTATGAAAAGATGTCTGAGTGACACAATCAGGATTTGCTGTTTTGGAAAGCCTATAAATAGCAACCCTCGTCTGCCAGTCTGTGTGGTTTTTACCTAAGGGAAAGCACTTTTGTAGAACGTGTTGTTTTCATCAGACCCTAAATGCAGCTTATAACCGTGTCGTTAGATGTGGGAGTGTATGAACTCATAAATGCACATCAAAAATCATATTGAGCGATAATGTTTGAGAATTAATCACGAGAGAAAGACATTTTACAGTCTGTACAGCTCAAATAAAGAACACAATGATGTTGTTTTAAGTGTCTTGATTATTTCAGGAACCTTGTTTCTCTGAGAAAATTCTCAAGGTAAATCCTGTATCAGCGAGAGTGCAAAGGTTTCAGACTTCTTATCATCCCTTGTGGCATCCTTTGTCAGGTTGTGTGGAGGAAAAAAAAAAGAAATATTAACTGGAAAATATAGCTCGGAGAGATAGAAAATAAATTACTTCAGTGTGGCAGGGGAAAGAAGATTGTGAGATTTATCAAGTGAAGATGGAAATGCCTGCTAAGTCTGCGCCCCTACCTTGAAAAATTAAAGAGAAATCAAACGCCTCAGAGTACACAGCGATTGTGATATGAAGGCATGTATGTGTGGTTATGCGTGTGCGCCTGCATACTTGTTCTTGGAGTTATTTATTGCTGGAATGTTATTTCTTAATGTCAGCTATTTCATCTGCGGTGACATATGTGATAACAGATACATTCTGACACAGCTATGCTTTTTACAGTGAGGGTCTCGCTCTGTGTGTGTGTATGTGTGTGTCATTTCTCCTGTGGAAGACCACTTTAACACACAGCCCACTATTAGCCATAAGCTCCACTAGTCTTTTAGCACTCAACAGATTTTCTGTGAAACAGCTTGACTGGCAAAATCTATAATTGTACAGATAAGTGAACATGTTAGCTAGATAAAGGTTAAACTATCAGGGATATGTTCTCCATCCATCTAAAGCCAATTTTACACATTCAGCTCAAGCAATGGTGGGAGGGGAAAAAAAAAAACTGGCAAGTCAATATTGATTGATCTGGAGCCTTAGCAATTACCTCCATGTGCAGAAGACCATGTTAAGGTCAGTATTATCTTAGCTCATTTTATGGGTCAGCGCTCTGGCTTTAGCAGAAATAAATTAATGGGGTAAACACTTTAAGCTCACCTTGATGAAATTTACAGCAAGTGTTAAAGCTTTGCATAGGTGGAAGGTGCAGCGCAGGAGAGTGACCCTTGATATTTTTGCTGAACCTTCATCAACGTAGGTGGTAAAATGCAGTCTATAAATCACACTGAATCCTCTGTAATGAAACAGCATGGCAAAATTATACACTGTAAAGGCAGTAGCCTGTTAAATTAATAGCTATTTTGTAGGCCGGGCACATTTCTTTCAACTCCAGAACAATGACACTGTTTCAAAAAATGGCCAGACTCAAAATAAATGGTGTGATGATTGAAAAAAAAAAATAAAGCCTGATCTTTTTAAGAGCTGTATGTTTCTTTTTCGAGCACATGCCAAATGCGCCAACTCTTTACACAAATACCATCACACAGCAAAGCCTACTGGGTGTTTTAACAGCTCTTAATAGATTTTGTATGTAACTGTGTACTTGTTAGCAACACTGCGCCCAAGGCTGTTATCATCACTTTAAACTAGGCTAACAGCATTAAGAGGAAAAACCAAATGCACCAAAGCTTTTTACTATGTGGGTCATAATAGTTATGCCTGGAAAGAAATATAGAGTTCAAAATACAAATTCAGAATATTGACATTTCAGTGTCAGTAAGCTCTCATTGACATGGATTTTAGCAGTAGACTAAATCATAAAAGCCATCTCATTGATATTATCGATGGCTTTCTAGGAGCTGTTACAGAGCCCAGAGCTGGCACAGAGGTGGTGTTTGCACCATTGATTGGCCAAGTTAGCTACAACTGCCACCGGTCAGTCAAAGCTGCCACAACAATAGCTCCGCCTAGTCGTGTAACTCTACATGTCAACTTAGTATGATGAAAATAGATGAAAAGTTCGAGAAAAAAAAAAAGGAAAACAGGCAGAAAACATTTTAGCATTTCAACATGGGTGATAAATTTGTTGTCTTGCTTTTGAAGCCAACCCCAAGTGGACACTCAAGGAACTGCAGTTACTCCCTCGATGAGATATGTATTAAAGTATTTGAAATTCTCAATTTAGTAACCCAATTAAAAGTCTCACAGTGTGTAAATACACCCATTATGACACTTTTTTTAGCAAAGTTTTAGGAGTCTCAGTTTAGTAACAATCAAACTAAGATCACGGAGCCAGAATTGGAAGTTAGCATCCATAACTCTAAAGGTATAGTGTAAAAAAATGGGAAAATTTAGCAACGTCATATTTGAGCCCTCCTACTGGTGAAATTGCAGAAACAAATATCTACCATCAAAAACATCTAGTCTAGATGTGTATGGCCTGCACTCATTGTTATGCATTTGTATGTTGAATGCACATGTGACTGTGCTTCAATTTTGTACTGTACTGTACTGTACTGTACTGTATCATGCATCCCCTCTGTTTCAAGTAAAATATCTAGAGGTAGTCAGAGCCGACTGCAGAGAACTGATAGCACACTAGCACACAGTAATAACAGCAGTGTCCTTAACTTTGACACCTGTATGTTTTCCACTAGAGGGAACAGACAAGTGTTATTAGTCAACCAAGTAATCCATCAGCTCTCACCGTATTGGCATTCTGCTGTGGCCTTCGGGGCTGACTCAAAAACAGCTCTGTTATGTTCTTAAGCCCAAAATAAATTCAATTTCCAATGCAGTGATCTCCTTAATGAAAAGTCAATGTCCCTTACTCATTGGCAAGCTCCCACGGGGACATTCGGGCAGATGAATTTATCAACGGGCTGGACACTGCGCCCTGGGGGACACCACCCCTTATGATCAAACAGAATGCTACAGAGTGTGTTCAACCAGTCCTCCATTATTACCCAGCTTGTGCTCTTAATGTGAGCCGACGGAGGAGGGATGACAGTATTGATCGCATGAAAGTGCTATTTATATTCTCTCAGATCCTTTCACCAGTGATTACAAAAGCACTTCACTACTGCCGCCAGTGCGTTCCCCATTTGTTAAGAGTATAGAGTGAGTTTGTTCAACTGCCGTGTTATGCTGCTTATTTCTGCATCAGGCCGCATGCATCCGTGTCAGAGCACACCTCTATTGTTCCCCGTGTGTCGCACTGACATCCCTCTCTGAGCTGCTGTCTAAAATTAAACACAACTTTACTCAATATTGAAACATCTTTAAATTATACATGTAGATCTGTTCTCTTTTTTATCGTTGCAGTGAAAGTTCTGCATTGCTGAGTGGAAAACTTCAGAGGTTTTTGATTATTAATAACAGCATGTCTTGTAAGCAGCTAACCCTGTGATAAGAGGGACATGAGGTTGTTGTCACGGCACATAGATAAGCTTTAATCCCCCAGTTGCCTCTGTGTAATGCATAGAAAAAAGTGATAGGGGCACAGAACATACATTGGCTTGACGCTGAAACTGCAGTGTGTTCAAATCACACACCGCAAAGCAAGAACATGCAATATGCGTCGCTTAGAAAGCACATGTAATTCATGCTCATCGCTTTCATTATTCCATAAGTGCAGCTCTTGTGAGGGCTTTTTTTTTTCTCACATGACCCACAACAGCGATTCATGTGTGATTTAACATGCATGAACGTTCATTCTACCCGTGGCTATGCTCTCATGAATAAAACACTGAAATATGGATAATTATTGACCTCATGTGTTTAACTGTGCACCTCCACCTAGCAGAAAATCTGTGCTTGTGTGCATCGCCCACAAGTCCAAGCTGTATGATCCCGATGAGATTACGAGAACAGACGAGGATTAAATTAATTGTCACACAAAGAGCTTCAAAATTATTCGGGGGTTAGAGGTACATGATAATATTAGCATGTTTTCTGAGTGATGCATTTAACTGCTAGAGGGCAGCACTTTCAGGTTGTCTTTGTCAAAAATAAAGCCAAAATTCAAAATATGAGCAAGTACTAGACAGATTCATTTGTCCAGAGTGGGCGCCAGAGTGGGCGCAAACAACAACAACAAACAACAACACGACACTGAATTATTGCCAAAAAGTGGTGATTTCATCCTGCAATCAAACTTTTGCACCTTTAGCAGCTGTTACAGATCTGCAACCATCTCGAAATCATAAACTACATGCAACTTAGCATATTTAACTTTCATATCATTACGTGGTCAGATTATCTTTACATCCCATGAGAAAATCCATACCATCCGCTGAGGAGAGCATCTAATTTATTGGATCCTTCACAGATAGAGGATCTGTGTGCATCCCAGTCCCCACAGTGTGAGTCTCTCTCTAATGTGGCTGTACTGCCCATAAACAGACAGTGAGTGATTAGCGCTGCTCCGCCATTGACATCATTTGCATTTTAATAGACCATAATTACAACTCGGGGAAAATAAATTGCAGTTTGAAGAATGTTTGAATTACTCCAACTCTCCAGCTCCTCTGCTTGCGAGATAGCAGTGAGCGTATGCAGGAGCTGCCTGGATGGTTAATATTGGGTTCGGAAATGTACAGAGAAGCGGGGTTGCAAACGGAAAACAGCAGCCGTTCTTAGCAGTAATCAAAGTGTTTGATTTTGCAAATTATCTATAATTTAACCCAAAAAGAAACAAAGATGTGATTTTACTGCCTTGCTCGGGGATGCTTTACAGTAGAAATAGCTAATTCTGGAGGCAAATCTTTGACTTTTCTGCTTACAGAGAGCGCCTCTGATGATCAGGCCACCATGCCGCCGTCCTGTAGGGTCTTGGTTTCTCATTAACGCGTGTGATAATTGCAGTTTGTCCATTTAATATCCCCCAGTAGGTCTTATCACTGCACCTCACCTGCTGAGACGTGACACCTTCCCAGGATTTGCCGAGGGACGTCCAACCCCGGCAGCTAAAGCCCATGTGACCCTGTAAGCAAGAGTGACAACACAATAATACTCCCCGCGCCTAATCTTTCATTGGTGGATTATCAGATTAGAGGCCCCAGTTGTTTATGGGCTCGGTGACTATCGAAAAAGTTGATCTGTCA